GTCATTATGATGATAACGAGCAAATGTGCACAATATCGAAATTATATTATTAATTAGATAGCCGTTTTTCATGTGATAAACCCTTTTTGGGTGATTTTGAATGTGTATGCGATTGATACAGGTTTTTGTGATTATTGATGAACGATAATTAAGACCATTGTGGAGATATTTTTCAGCACATATAGGAAGCCACCACAGAGACCTGAGAATTCGTTACAGCTATATTTGGACCTAAATCAAGGTCTTCAGAGTAATTTTACACGTTTTAGGAGTTTAGATAGAATTTCGATGAAAGCCATCCCCATATATTGTGGCATTTTCACCGAAGTCGATCTAAACCCCTAAAAATGTAAAATTACTCTGAACACCTTACTTTATGTCCAAATATAGCTAACAAATTTTCAGGTTCCTGTGGAAACTACGTTAAGGCCGATATGGATAAGTATAAAGCTGGCAGTTTAATTTTGTATTTTTACATTGTTGGAAGTTGTATTAAGGTTACTCTATAACTTTAAATCACATGGTCACATGACACAACATGATAATACTGTAATTAGCAAAGAGTTGGGCATTACCTGAACAACTTTACCATTTTGTTGTCATGGAAACATAATTATACTGAAAAATTAATGTGTATGAAATCTTTAGCTTGTTTTAAGAGTTGATTGATGTATGTAATTATGTGTACCACAAGGCCAGTGGTGTATGTAATTCTGTGTTCCACAAGACCAGTGTTGTATGTTTTTCTGTGTACCACAAGGCCAGTGTTGTATGTAATTCTGTGTACAACAAGGCCAGTGTTGTATGTAATTATGTGTACAAGGCCGGTGTTGTATGTTATTCTGTGTACAACAAGGCCAGTGTTGTATGTAATTCTGTGTACCACAAGACCAGTGTTGTATGTAATTCTGTGTACAACAAGGCCAGTGTTGTATGTAATTCTGTGTACCACAAGGCCAGTATTGTATGTTATTCTGTGTACCGCAAGGCCAGTGTTGTATGTAATTCTGTGTACAACGAGGCCAGTGTTGTATGTAATTATGTGTACAAGACCAGTGTTGTATGTTATTCTGTGTACAACAAGGCCAGTGTTGTATGTAATTCTGTGTACCAAAAGACCAGTGTTGTATGTAATTATGTGTACAAGACCAGTGGTGTATGTTATTCTGTGTACAATAAGGCCAGTGTTGTATCTAATTCTGTGTACCACAGGGCCAGTGTTGTATGTAATTCTGTGTATCACAAGGCCAGTGTTGTATGTAATTATGTGTACCACAAGACCAGTATTGTATGTAATTCTGTGTACCACAAGACCAGTGTTGTATGTAATTCTGTGTACCACAAGACCAGTGTTGTAGGTAATTCTGTGTACCACAAGACCAGTGCTGTATGTAATTCTGTGTACAACAAGGCCAGTGATGTATGTAATTCTGTGAACCACAAGGCCAGTGTTGTATGTAATTCTGTGTGCCACGAGGCCAGTGTTGTATGTAATTCTGTGTACAAGGCCGGTGTTGTATGTAATTCTGTGTACCAAAAGGCCAGTGTTGTATGTAATTCTGGGTACCACAAGGCCAGTGTTGTATGTTATTCTTTGTACCACAAGGCCAGTGTTGTATGTCATTCTGTGTACCACAAGACCAGCGTTGTATGTAATTCTGTGTACCACAAGGCCTGTGTTGTATGTAATTCTGTGTACCAAAAGGCCAGTGTTGTATGTAATTCTGTGTATCACAAGGCCAGTGTTGTTGTATTTCAGCACACATAAAATGTTACTTACCACGGCTCTGTGTACCCTGTATCATCTAAATCGGGGGCGTATTTTGGAAGGATAAATGTGAATATTCTTTATTCTTTGTGTGTACCAAGTATTAATGAAATCGTTGCTGTCCTTCAGGAGGAGTAGCGCGAAAAACTTTGTGTCTACAGACAGACAGACAACCCGATTCCTAGTATCCCCTCCCACCTTAACAACAAGTTAGCTCTGTGTGTGCAGAGGGGAAGGGGATGTATACTAATAACCCCAGAACTCAGCTGTAAATGAGTATGTGATTGGGCAGTGCTATAATTGTTGAATGCTAGCTGTGAGCGCCGAAATGGCAGCAACGGCTGTATGCTCCCCAGGGAGTTGAGAAATATATTCTAAAGTTATAAACATAACCTCCCCAGTGTCAAGAACATTGTGATATATGAACACATGTTCACTTCAAAGACTCCAAAATCATGCATGAGTGTGACAATAGGTTCACCTTTTACTGTCCAATAAGTTATTTTAGTGTCCAATAAGTTATTTTATAGTCCAATAAGTTATTTTATAGTCCAATAAGTTATTTTATAGTCCAATAAGTTATTTTACAGTCCAATAAGGTATTTTACTGTCCAATAAGTTATTTTACTGTCCAATAAGGTATTTTACTGTCCAATAAGGTACTTTACAGTCCAATAAGTTATTTTACTGTCCAATAAGTTATTTTACAGTCCAATAAGTTATTTTACTGTCCAATAAGTTATTTTACTGTCCAATAAGTTATTTTACAGTCCAATAAGTTATTTTACAGTACAATAAGGTATTTTACAGTCCAATAAGTTATTTTACTGTCCAATAAGTTAAATAGGTCAGTCAACACCAAAGTTGTTACCTGAATCAGCATTGGAAACACTCAGAGGGTAGTATGTTTTAAGTTAGATGTAAGCCTCAAACTGTCCAATAAGTGAGAGTAAGAGCAGGTCTAGGCCTGTTAGGGCCTCAACACCTGTCCTTTCTCTCACATGTTAGACAGTTTTTGGCTTATATCCATAACATAATAATTGGTGAACCACTTTGAGACGACCTATTAACTTGGTTGAGATAAAACGGTATACAAGAACCATGAATTATTATTATTTTATACCCATCACTTCAGTGTGCCTACAGATACCCATTGTCTCAAAATTAACAGTAGAAAAGGTTGTACACGATACATGGTCAATTTACTTTGAGTTTTTCAGATATTTTGTATAAATCAAAACATGATGAAATATGTATTTTTGGAAAACAACATTTATTGATACATAAGCGATCAATGGATGTAACAAATATAGCATTAAATACTGAACAAACATGGTATTGAATATACACACACATGTATATAACATAGCCAGGTTAGCACTGAAAATTTCGAACTCCCTAATATAAACATTTTTGCAGTGTTCTTTTGAATTACTCCGACAATACTTTCAAATATGAAGTCACTTTAAAAAATATTCCTATAAATATGGATGAAATATATAACAGGCACTGTACCTACCTACTCTGCAGTTGAATTACCTTTATGAAAAAGTATACAATGTATAACAAATTCTGTTTTTGAAATTATTCTAGTTTGACATAAATTCTGCAATTTGATGCAAAATCTTGATATATTAAATAGACATATTTCACATCTAGTCACATTGTCTCTTTTTAGTTTTAGCATTACATAGGGTTATTATCTTATTTTTTTTGATAGATTTAAAAACATTTGAAATTAATGCAAGTGACTCAAATTTCAAGACAACATTTCATATAGCTACCCATAAAATGCAGGTATATTTGGTCAAGCCCAAACAATATTTCAAGCATGGCACAAGGTGCTTGAAAATTTGACTGAGCACAGGGTACTTTTTTTAGGAATAGCATATATATATATATTGTATTGCATAGCTTCAATAAATCACACAGCATCAAAAATCGGCCAATGTAGTCCAAACAATACATTTGTAAACTTCACTTTCATAATGCACTACAACAATGAAGCCATAAGTTGTGTTGAAGACGGTGTTGGACATATTGATGTAATGTCATAAGGTTCTTTAATCAATCTAAATTTAAGTACGGTTTTGAGAAATCACAAAAAATTAGAGGCACATACATTTTTATGGAATACTTTAAATCAAAACAAAAATTTAAAATGTATCTCAAGATAAAATAAGCTTGCATAAAACAAACCATAGGGATTACCATTTAGAATAGCTTGAAAATACTATTTAAAATCAAGCAAACAAGATTGCTAAAATGATGACCTCCCTTTATCCAGTATCCGTCATCATGGCAAAACCCCACAATGCCTCCAACATCTTACATAGAATAACATCCTGATTCGAGACGTCAAATCATGGTTGACACCGAGAAAAACTAGCTTTTCTTTCATATGTTGGTTTATACAGAATAAACCAGATACACCAAACCTAGGAACATTTATCATATTTATCTGATCGCGCTAGTTCCTTAAACCTAATTTAATCATTGAACCTGGAAATTAAACTTAAGAATTTATTCAATAAAATACTTAAACATAACTTTCTTGAGTTAGAATTTTTAAAATAAACACAAATTCTGTTTGTAACATTGAACATTTTAATTCTTCAACATGAGACAAATCTGATCAAGACATATATATATTCATAAGACTAGGTTTTTAAAGTCCGATAAAACAAATGACTAAACCCAAATTTATGTTCCATTTCGTCAATGACACATTGTAAAAATCATGGAAATAGAGAAATGAACTGTTCCAAAAATAACTACACATGGCTTTATTGTTCAAATTATGTCTGTAAATATTTATTCTATCCCAGGGACTTAGCAAGACTAGATTCAGCATAAAGTAAATGTAACAGAATCCTGAACAGATTGTCATTTTTTACCATGCATTTCCTTGACCTTACCAAAACTGTAAAACACAATGAAGGCAAAATTATAATTTTAATGGTGAAATTCAAATTAGGTATAAATGTAGTTTCCAAAGAACATCCTTAATTTTATAAATCTTCCTTTTTTATTGTTTATAATGCAGTTACCTCCCTTCCATCATGAATCAATACCCGTTAATATCTTTTTACCACGTAACTGCAACTTAAAGTAAATGGGTTTTTGTTCATTAATTTAAAATAAATGCATACATATCACTATCAAATTTAATGCAATACATTCTTGTTCTGTGGTATCAAGAATTAAAAAAAAAAAAAAAAAAAAAAAAAAATCAAGATTAATCAAAGAAAGTTTTAACAAAACATTCAAAAATGTATATTCAGTTAAATATATTTATCAGTGTTACAATAAATATCCTGCATCAACCATTTCCAAATTCAAATTTTTACAAATGAGTCCAAATAAAGAAGGCTCAACAAAGTATAGGTATTAAATTTTCTAACCTTCAGCATCTAGATCTATGTAGAATTTAACTTTTATTTCAGTAGCACATCCAAACATGATTTTACAATACTTGTATGTTTTGAATCTAACTTTGTACTGATTTTCAAGAGAAGTAAATATTTTCATCCAACTGTATGGACTGAAGCCTTCTATGACAATTCTACAACCCCAGGACCGGGGGTAGGGATCCCAACTTTACACGGATAATTCTGTGAAAAAATATTAAATTCATCCAGTGTTCCCACTGAATTTTAGATTTGAGGTATATTTGATACATTTTCAAGATTTTGTGCCCCTAGATACTTAGTTATATAAGGCTATTCTTGAAAACTGGGGGTACTATCAACTGTTTCGGGGGTGAAAAACCCTCTTTTAGGGGCTTCTGGGAACACTGTCATCTATATTGAACTTGAGAGCGTTTTCAACAAGAAATACAACTGTTGATCAGTGAGCTTTTCATTGTATTGCAATAAATAATTCCAGATTTTTAACCTTCTTTTAACACTTTCGCCCCTATGTAACTAGTGAACTCTACCACACATTTATCTGGATGAGTCCATTATGATCTACAGTGGTGAAAGGGTTAAAGACTAAACACTCTATGAACTAACGTCATCCATAATAACAGTTTCCTCTAGTCGTCTTCCATAACAACATATTCCAGTTTCGTCGACTCGGACTTCCCGCCCGCTATTGTTGCCTGTACTTCCTCGTAATACATGACAACTCTCATCTGGCGCTTGTAGTCCTCGGGCACTTTAAACATTTTCCCATGGCCTGGCACAATGAAGTCTGCTATCTTAAGGATGTTGATACGGTTTTGCTCCTGAATGTCAGGTTTTTCACTATTGTCCTGCCATAAACTGGGATTCTCTAGATCTTCTTGGCACTCGAACAAGTCACCTGCAATGGGGATAACAGATAAACGACAACATATGCAATGATTTCCAACTGTAAAGAATAGCTGTACAGTGCTGTGTGCTTAAATGGGAGTTTTGTACATTAAGATTTGGTACATATATAATAATAAAACATTTTCAGACATATTTGTGTTACTCTTCTTTAAACAGGTGATTGAAAACTGCTTAAGCTTTTAAGAGATTGTAATGTACTATGTTGATATTATGAAACAAAATCTTGCAAACTACATATCTATGAACTTGCAAATAAATATTTTGTAAATTTTCATTTCCAATTTTGTTTTATTCCCAGTTGACATAGCAAAGAACACATAGTTCAATTACCAAAAAAAAAAAAAAAAAAAATCATCAAAATTTAGCACAAAATTTATAACTTAATATTACTGAGTTTAATAACACATCAACTAATTCCAGGATGTTTTTGTTGAGTTCAAAATAAAGTAATTTTAATTGCCTTCTTTAACTGACTCAGATACTAATTGAGAAACATGTGCAAAACCCAGGGTGAGATACCTGAGCCAGCACTGATTTCTATGCAGTCAGCCACTATTTTCATACAGAGGCAAGTTGTACCTTATAATTTCTGATCTCAGTTCAGTAATTGTGAAGTTCAATTTTTTATTACGTTAACCTTGTTTGATAACCATGAACTTCTTACTTATTGGAATGTGTACAATTAGGTCATTCTATTATCTCTGGAACATAGTTACATAATAACATTGAATGTGATAATATAAGCAAACCATGCACTATTTTTTTTGCTATTTTCCCATGTTGAAATACTGTTTTTCATTATTGCGTTCAAACTGCATATGAGCTACAAGTCTTATGTAGTTTAGCACACACGATGTTAAGTTAAAGTGGTGAAATTGGATAGCAACTCAAATAAGTATGTTTACAATGCATGTTATATATGTTTTTTCCAATACTTGACTTACCTGGTAGTCATTATCTATCTACAGGAATTAACATGATAACAAGAATGTTTTACCTGTAAATGTCACAGTTCCTAGTTTGGTATTTGCTTTATAAAGTTCTAGCAGTGACGGTTTGTTTGTTTTTGATAACTAGCAGTACATTTTTACCTGTAATTGCCACAGTTCCCAGTTGTTGTTTTTTGATAACTAGCAGTACATTTTTACCTTTAATTGCCACAGTTCCCCGTTTGGTGATTTTTGATTACTAACAGTAAATTTTTACCTGTAATCGCCACAGTTCCCTGTTTGGTGATTTTTGATAACTAACAGTAAATTTTTACCTGTAATCGCCACAGTTCCCAGAATGTTTGTTTTTTGATAACTAGCAGTAAGTTTTTACCTTTAATTGCTACAGTTCCCAGTTTGGTGATTTTTGATAACTAACAGTACATTTTTACCTGTAAACGCCACAGTTCCCCGTTTGGTGATTTTTGATAACTAACAGTACATTTTTACCTGTCAACACCACAGTTCCTCGTTTGGTGATTTTTGATAACTAACAGTACATTTTTACCCGTCAACACCAGAGTTCCCCGTTTGGTGATTTTTGATAACTAACAGTAAATCTTTACCTGTAATCGCCACAGTTCCCAGAATGTTTGTTTTTTTATAACTAACAGTAAATTTTTACCTGTAATCGCCACAGTTTCCTGTTTGGTGATTTTTGATAACTAACAGTAAATTTTTACCTGTAATCCCCACAGTTCCCTGTTTGGTGATTCTTGATAACTAACAGTAAATTTTTACCTGTAATCGCCACAGTTCCCCGATTGTTGATTTTTGATAACTAGCAGTAAATTTTTACCTGTAATTGCCACAGTTCCCAGTTTGGTGTTGCGTACAATCACCGATACATCTGACCCTGTATGGCCGGCAGTCGGTACAACTTCTACATCATCGTCAATTTCATATGGAATCCCCTGTCCAATAGCAATTATTTAGGTTAGCATTGTGGAGTAACATTCTGACTATGATGTTTTATCAATGTAAATATAGATAAACTCGATAGATAATGATCACCAAACGCAATGCTTTCAATACCTGTAATGAGCACAACACAGTAATAAATATCTACTTTTATACATTTACCTTATACTGTAGTAGATAGTATATAATGACCGATAATTATAAATAGTATTCTCCTTATTTTTTATTGGCCAAGAAATTATGTTACAATGCTTTTTGGCATCAAATTTCATGTTTTCATTATGATATTAAATAATTTTAAACTTTTTGTTGGTTTAATGTATCATTAATCTTTAGGAAGATTGACCATGCACAACCACGTCTTGAAATCAGTTGTAGCAAACTTTGTTAGATAAATGAAACACTATGGTAAAAGTTTAATCAGTAATACATATAATCATTAACTTTAAAAAAAAATATACATCGTTCTTTGGTTTCAAAATAAACCCCCTCAGATAATATGCACAAAAATACTGTAATTTCAGTTTGTTTTTAAAAAACTGAATTTGAAAAAAATAGACTGTAATCTTATTAATGGACCTGATTCGCCCCATAGCTGCAGGAACCATGGCTCAGGGAATGATCAATCTTCTATTCAAATTTCAGATATTTTATTTGAAATTTTAACAAAAATATAAAATTTCATCATAAAATATCTAATATTATTTTAATAATACATGTGAAATAAAATCAATGGGAGCTTGAGCTACAGTTCCCACAGCTATAACACAACTGGATAGAAATATTTATTCCAAGATTTGAACATTTTAAAGACAAATCTTGTTTAACTGATTAACATATTCCACATAATTTCTAAAACCATTGTTATTTATCCTGCTACTCAATCATCAGGATGTTTTTTTTCTAGGATTTGTTAGTTTAAAACATTAAACTCTACAACAACAAAATATTTCAATCACAGAAATTGCAATACAAAACACTTAGCAAACAGACAACAGAAGTAAAACAGTTTTTAAGTACATTATAATAGGTAGCAGTTATAAGTAAAGTGAACTCTGGTTACAGTATTGTAGTGCATTAATTAGTCTTTGGTTAAAAATAGAACATAGTTATCTTGGTTGCATATATGTGAAGTGTATCTTTATGCCTGATTGAGAAAAATGTCTTCATTACCTACAAAATGAATGCTTCTCTTTTTCAAAAAATTTGAAAAGATGAAACTAACATACGTGAAGGAAGTAAATTAAGAAGAAAAGTGTTTGAAAGCTACACAGATAATGAAGGTACATGTGTGAGGAGAATTGAGGGAGGAGGAGGTAGAATAACTTGTAATGACGTACCAGGTCAAAGTCATGGTTTGTGTAATCGTCGCCATGACATACGTCATGTGACAGGATGTGAGTGGCGTGAACAAAGAGGTTGAGGTTGCCGACATGATCAGAGTGGCCGTGGGAGCACACTACATACTCAATCTTATCAGGGCACGTACCATGCTTCTCTAGACCTGAAACAGTCCATGGCACACATGTACATGGCTAACAACTTACCCTACACCTGTTGGCCACCGTACCACACTTCCTATACTTATAGGCTCATTATATTAAGAGTAAGTATGGCAGACATCTAAAATTTCAGTTAGAGTTTACAAAGATGAAAATTTTAGCTCAATAAAATATTATGAGGTAGTTCATGTGTGTAGAGAAGAGAGGTCGCCCCAAAACCACATGGCGTCGCACAGTGGAAACAGCCCCAAAACCACACGGCGTCGCACAGTGGAAACAGCCCCAAAACCACATGGCGATGCACAGTGGAAACAGCCCCAAAACCACACGGCGTCGCACATTGGAAACAGCCCCAAAACCACATGGCGTCGCACAGTGGAAACAGCCCTAAAACCATATGGCATCGCACAGTGGAAACAGCCCCAAAACCACATGGCGTCGCAGTGGAAACAGACCCAAAACCACATGGCGTCGGACAGTGGAAACAGCCCCAAAACCACATGGCGTCGCACAGTGGAAACAGCCCCAAAACCACATGGCGTCGCACAGTGGAAACAGCCCCAAAACCACACGGCGTCGCACAGTGGAAACAGCCCCAAAACCACACGGCGTCGCACAGTGGAAACAGCCCCAAAACCACACGGCGTCGCACAGTGGAAACAGCCCCAAAACCACACGGCGTCGCACAGTGGAAACAGCCCCAAAACCACACGGCGTCGCACAGTGGAAACAGCCCCAAAACCACACGGCGTCTCACAGTGGAAACAGCCCCAAAACCACACGGCGTCGCGCAGTGGAAACAGCCCAAAAACTTCACGGCGTCGCACAGTGGAAACAGCCCCAAAACCACACGGCGTCGCACAGTTGAAACAGCCCCAAAACCACATGGCATCGCACAGTGGAAACAGAGCTCAGTGACATGGATCACAGCTGGGGAACTATCTAGCGATTAGCAAAGGATCGACTGGTGTGGAGGAACTTCGTTGCTGCCCTAAACGCCACCGAGCGCAGTAGGCAATGAGTAAGTAACATGCATCCTTGAAACCCAATGGTTTGCCCCAATAAATACATTTTCTCTGCATCCCTGGAAAAGGCCCTGACAAAATCAAAGGCTCTTTCTTTTTGTGACACCTTCAGGATGATGTCGTTGATGTAAAACAGTAAAGTTGACAAGCTTTCAAGACAAGAGTTTGAGAATGTGTGTGGAGATATCATAGAAATTCTATCCTCAATGTACAAGTTCCATGATATCCCAACGCACCTACCATGGTCTGATATTTTTACTAAGTTGAAAAGATTTTTGATGTAGATGTTTTTTTATGTCTCTGCCTCACATATTAACAGCATGTCAAAATGATAATGATAATGGTAGCCTCATTAATATGCATAAATGTTCACATCACAATGGCAACCAAACTTAGTCACAGACTTGCCATTACGTACATGTATGTACATACCCAACCCAATTTGGTTGAAATTAAACGATTTTCAGGTTATTTATTGAATGGGACCAATGGCCCAATCAGAATTAAGTAGTCTCATTAATTATGTGTAAATATACACCTATCACACCAGCAAACTTGGTTGAAATCAACCATTTTTAGGGCACTTATTGAACAGGAACTAAAGTTGACATGCTGACAAAGTCAATGGACCATGAAAGGTAGGCCACATCAAGCATTTGATGCATGGGTTGAGATGTACTACCTAAGATGCATCTATGGTCCAATTTTGGTTGGTCTAGCACTTCTACTTTCAGTGAAACTAACTTAAACACAAAAATGTGACGCCGTCGCCGGAAGAGCAACATCCAAGTCTGGCTTCCACTTTGTGACGGCGAGACAAAAAATGATTAGAAATGGTCCACATGCATGGTATCCTATGGACAATAAGAGGAATCAGGGTAACTCCTAAACCATGCACATTAATAGACATTTAATATAACGCAAAATAAGCATCAAGTTACAACGTTTTGTATCTAGTAGCTGACATTAAAGACCATGAAATATAAAATCACCAAGCACTGTGCTGAACGGGGTAAAAACAATTTTCAACAAAAATATCTACATCGTCATCATGTAGAGTGGAGTCTCGCTTTAATTCATAAACAGATTTAAGAACACTTAACTTTCAGAAGCAGGTTTCCATTATATATACTGTTGTGGGTGTATTTGTTACCTCTTACATTTACTTATTTCATTCAGTTTAATTTTGTCATGTCTGTGGAAAGTGTCATGCTGAATATACATTTTTGAGACTAAGATTATATGTAGTGTTATCAGGATAGTTTTGTCATATATAGAATTAACAGATTTGCTAAAATTTACAAAAACATAATCTAGCAACTAAAATGAAAGTGCATGCTGTATTTTATACAAAAACATTTCTATTCAATCCAAATTTTCCACAAAAATAAAAAAATTGGGAAATATTTAATGAGAAAAATACAAATTTTGCACGTGTTGTAAAATGTTTGACCTAGATGAATGAAGTGTAGTAAACTGTTTATTTGGGTAATGTCTTACATGAAAAAAAGTATCGAGACTGAGACGGTTCCACTGCACATATATGACTTTAGCCCATGCCTTTTACCTGGTGAAATGCATGGAGATAGTAGTTCTCGCGGTGATAGATTTTTCCACTAATGATCTGGATAGCCCCAGTAAACAGGTTCAAATTGCCAACCTTATCAGACAGAGCACTAGTGCCCACAATGAACTGAACTTCAAAAGGCAGAATACCATGGTCTTCAAGACCTAGTGATGAAATTAAATTATTTGAATGTCACCTTTTTCCAATAAAAATGTACCAATACCTATTATTCACTTAAAATAATTTGAGATAAAATTTATATTGAATATTTGTAATAAAATCAAGTACAAGCCAATATCAAACAACCAAAAAAAAACCAAAAAACAGAAAATTCATTAATTTTTTCCCAAAAAAATATTTATACTGATTATACTTAATCAAATTATCTTATCAAACACTACCTTCTATCGGCTCCACTTTTTCCCAAAAGAAACTGTTGAATATTCATTACCGGTAAATATGTCACTGTTGAATATTTATTACCGGTAAATTTGCACTGTTGAATATTCATTGAATATAAACAATGATTAATGAACGAATCATGGCTAAAAAGCCATTTCATGAGAAAGGTGGAATAAACAGTAAGTGTTTTGATATAATATATATCAGCTGACCATAGACAAGTTATGTCGGTAATCTTAAAGTCTTTTTCAAGACATTTTCACCTTTAAGTATGAGGTCTTTATCCCACGGGTTTCCAGTATCTACAATGATGTGCTTTGGACCTTTTAGTAAAGTGATGGTACCACATGCTATTTGGTGACCTGAGGAGAGAAAACAGATAGATCTAGAACACAATAGCAAAATTTAAAATCTCTTCAGCACTTGGAAGTCTCCATATATAGCTACATTCACAGGTATTTCATGCACATAGTCCCAAATTCTGTAAGTCCATTTCGACAAAAATAAAACTTGTGATTCTATATTTGCCAACCTTTTAAAATTTCCGCGGAGGAGATATAAAACAAATGTGTGCCTATACCCCTCGAGGCAATTTAAGTCTTTAAAATGACATATTTTGTGCTGTTATTTTTTCAGATGAAACCATTAGACCTTGGAATACAGCATACTTGCTTTTTTTAATTTCCATGGGGGAGATTCTGCATGCTCAAAATTAAAACATCAATAAAATATGTGTATACGTACACACACCCTAGAGACAAAATAACCCTTTAAAATGACAAAGTTTGAGTTGTTCTTTCAGACAAATCATAAGATCTTATAATATAGGAACAGTTAAGCAAATTCACTGGTTGAAAACACTAAATTTAAGGGTCCAAAATTGGGAGTCTCCCTCCTAAATAGGGAGGGTTGGCAAACTTGTATGATATAGGTATAGATTATTTGACAAGTTCACTGACTGAAAAAGGTCAATATTAGGTATTAAAATGGGGTTTCTCTCTCCAAAACAGGGAGAGTTGGCAGGTATGTCATTCCTGAGGAGTTGTCAGCCATCTTGTATATTTTACAATTAGGACATGGATATTTCAGAGTGATATTTATGAACTCACCTGGTCCCTCACTCCGACTGTAGCCTTCCTTTAGTATGATCACCTCGTACATCGCGACTCGACACCACACACGATGGCAATAGTGAAGAATTTTTTACATAAATAACATCGGTCAGGATCTTGTGATGGTCGTCTGACCTAGCTAGTTATTCATGTGTACTGCAAATAAAAGACAGAAATGGATTCATGGCATCCGTCTGCAAACCAGCTCTTATATCATATGTATTGTAAAAGTACAAAAATACCTGGACAGTGCATAATTTTATTTTCAATAAGATATATCAGTTTGGAAATATGTGATATCAAAGTTCTACTTTCTAAACAAACAATGTACATATTTAATGTGTCACAATAACACTGTGCGACACGTTTAGTACGTAGATTGTTTGTTTAGAAAGTAGAATTTTGATATCACATATTTCCAAACTCAGTCATAGCTTGACAAAGGGACCAGTCAAACTTGAAACGTTGCAACACGTTTAATTTGTACATTGTTTGTTCAGAAAGTAAAACTTTGATATCATAATTTGATTATTTATTGCAGTAAAATATATATGTATTGTCTATCTCCATCTGCATTTCCTACTAATTTCCCATTCTTGTTACATTACATTATATATGTTAACATGTACATTATTTATATAATCTGTCTTTCAGTCTTTATGATTATCAAAATATCATGGACGATTTAACATCTTACAACTCCCGGAAAATGCCTTATCAAAGGGTGACAGATAGAACACACTGTACCAGCAAAACATATTGCACAGTTCCAGTATATTGTTTTGGAATGTTCTGCAATATGTCTCATTGAAATGGCGTCAAAGATTCCTTGAATTGAAGTCCAAATTAATTCCCTTGCAATCTAACAGAAATCCTTGAAAAGATGTTGCCACACAAATCATTATAAAATGTGTTGGTTATTTCTTTTAAACAGTATAGACCTGGCCTATACTGTTTAAAAGAAATTTAAAATCCGAGAATTATGTGGCCTAGGTTAGTAAATGATCTTTACATAATGACTTTCATGCCAAAACATTGAAATCTAATTAAAGTAGATCTACTTTAATGTTTATGATATGTCAAGCTAATTTATGACAAAACTAAATATGTTTCTTCTTCCATACGAAAGGATTTGATCATGTTATGGTATATTTTTTTCATTTTTTTATGTCCTTTTAACAGCTATGGTCATTTAAGGACATGCCAGGTTTTGGTGGTGGAGGAAAGCAGAGTTCCCGGAGAAAAACCATAGACCTACAGCCAGTACTGTTACGGAAGGACCCAGTCATAGAGTTGTTACAGGAGAGGAAAAAACGCATGGCCAGTCTGGGGTTCGAACCTCCAGGGACCCTCCAAACTCTAGACAGACGCTCTACCATTGAGCTACCAGCTGGTTGCTGATGATTGACCCAGTCTTGTTCTTTTACATTCCTCCCTCCTTTTAACCAAGTCTTTGACCCACAAGACACACAAGACCCTATACCTACTTTTGTGGGCATATTTTGTTGGGCGCCAAATGTAGCATATTTTTGTGCGGAGAAATACATGGCCAGACTGGGGTTCGAACCTGGGACCCTCCAAACTCTAGACGGATACTCTACCAATTAAGCTACCTCGTTGCCGATGATCATCCAAGTCTAGTTCCGATATATTTCTCCTTCCTTTAACAAAGTCTTTGACCCTGTAGACACACAAGACCCTATACCACCTTCCTTGGGTATATTTGGTTGGGCGCCAAATGAAGCAGAAGTGGGGAAAATGCACAGCCAGAAAGAGGTTCAAACCTGGGACCCTCCAACTTAAGATGGATGCTCAACAAATTAAGCTACCTGGCAGCGGATGATCAACCCAATCTAGTTCCTCTACAGAGTAATATAATTGCTCATACAAAAGACTTTAAAAGACTACTGTAGCCTAGACGCTAAGACATTTTATAACGTCAGTAAACATTTTTTTAAGAAGGCATCACCATTAATTCCTTTTTAAAAACTAAGCATAATACATTCTGTATCATCAGAGTACATAAAGTTCAAGTTCAATATATCAAAATTACATACATGACTCAATACACTGATTTTAATGGATCTCTTTAAATACATGTACTTTATGACTTACAACGGTGATCATTTCATCTTTTATACAGGCTTGTAAGTTGTATTAGCCTAGACCTAAATAAAAAGGAAGTTCAACTGAAGTTGATTTATTTGTGATCTTTTCAATAAAAAGAGATTGAGACTGTTTTTGGGATATTTTGACATTGAATTATATTCGTGGTAAGTAGATTCTATCACGGACTTAGATAACTAATCTAATTCCGTGATTCTATTTACTTTTGCAATAAAAAAAAAATTCAACGACGTGCAGTTGTCAGCTGTTGTAACTTGGTTGGAATGATACACTGCCTAGACCACAAAACATGATATAACGCACACTGCACTTTAACGATACAAACCTGACACCAACTGATGTACTATCTGTGAAATCTACACAGAATCAGACATGTATTGAGTCACTCGATGACTTCAAGAGATGCTGATTCCGTTTCTGTGGAAAGTTCCCCAGGTTTCTATAACTCGAAAGTGCGAAGCCTAGTGGAAAGAAAATGAACTAAGGCCGGTAATCCAGTCTAATTCCGGATTTCTGTGTCAGTTACCGTTTTTAAAACTCACAACACATGTGTTTGAAATTCTGACTGTAAATTGAGATATAGACATCTATATCATGAACAATAGGGTTTATTACTGTAAAACAGAATAGTTACAGTATACCTTTATTTTTTATGATATATATATATCATTTTATAGTCAGAATTTCAAAAACCTGTGGTCACAGCTTCTGCCTGACAGCGATAGGCCACAGGCAGGCCTACTAGCCTCGTCTATCAACAAAACTTTCAGACGAAGCTAGTACCTGTTGGTAGGCCTACTGCTTACCTTATAAAGAATTTAAAGTCCCCGTAAAAAAGTGTGTGTGTATGAAGGTGGGGGAGACTTTTTCGTTTTATTATGCTCTTCTCAACCAGGCGATAGATTACCTTTTAATATATAAAGGTAACTTTTTTGTACAGGTGATAATCGAACTTTATGTAAAGGTTATAGATTACCTTTATGTACAGGTGATAGATGACCTCAATGTACAAGTATGATTAGTTGACCTTTATGTAAAGGTTATAGCTGACCTTTATGTACAGGTGATAGCTGGCCTTTATGTACAGGAGATAGCTGACCTTTATGTACAGGTGATGGCTGGCCTTTATGTACAGATGATAGCTGACCTTTATGTACAGATGATAGCTGACCTTTATGTACAGGTGATAGCTGACCTTTATGTACAGGTGATAGCTGACCTATGTGTACAGATGATAGCTGGCCTTTATGTACAGGTGATAGCTGACCTTTATGTACAGATGATAGCTGACCTATATGTACAGGTGATAAATGACCTTTATGTACAGGTGATAGCCGACGTGACAGTTTACCTTTCTAAACAGGTGATAGATGACCTTTATGTACAGGTGATAGCTGACATTTATGTACAGGTGATAGATGACCTTTATGTACAGGTAATTATTGACCTTTATGTACAGGTGATTATTGACCTCTATGTACAGGTGATTATTGACTTTTATATACAGGCGATAGATGACCTGTATGTACAGGTGATTGACAACCTTTTGTATGGGTAAATGTTGTTTCTTTACTTTAATGTTCTGGTGACCAGTGTCTAAATTTTACTTTGTTTTTAACGTCCTCGCAACAGCCAGGATGGTCATAGGAGGACGGACTATTGTCTATAGGTAGGCCAATACACATTACAAGTGAAGAATTTAATTAAATCAACATGATCCCAGCATTGCGCTGAAAAGTTCAGATTCTAGTAACAAACACATTACAGAAATTAATTTATTTATATTAATTTGTCACTTAGTAAGTGGCTTGGAACTCAATTGCGATATTCATCTTCCAAAAGGGCAACATCCACCTAAGTTTAGATCTGATGTATTTGTTCCAGCAAAATACCATCCTGAAATCAACATTTTTAAAAAAAAAAAATTGTATAGCTACTGCGAACTTGACATTTAACTTAGTATCATCAAACTCCATTGGGATCACCCTATTTCTAAGTGGAATAAGGCATTCAAGTTTGGTTTAGATCTGACTTGTTTTTCTTACACTTTCCATGAATTTTAGTTTAATTATAGCCATTGTGGCATTGACCTTTCCACTAGGGACCCCAAAATCAAACGGCATTTTCCCTTCCCTGCAGGGCATCTTTTTTTCTCAGGGAGCATACTAAAATGATAAGAATTCATGATCTAGGTAGACAAAGGTCAGGGACCACAGTGGCCAAGTGGCTAAGGCGTCTGACACTTCTGCATATGTGGGGCAGTCACCAGGTACCTGGTCGGAGGTTTTTCTCCAGGAACTCCACCACCAAAACCTGGCATGTCCTTAAATGACTGTTATTAGGACATAAAACACAAACCAAAACCAAAACGACAAAGGTCAAAAGGTCAACTGACAGAGATAAACAAACAAAATATAACAAAGACATTTTTTTTTATTTAATAATTTATCCATCTAAAACATACAACAGTTGACATGTAGCTATTAAGTGAACCATACTTCCAGAAATGTAAGACTCAACTTAATCAGGGAGGTATGATAGGGAACCTACAAGAAAGCGAGTAAAAGCTCCATAGGACCTGTGTATGCGTTTTTGTAACGTCAGCTGATTTTGTAACATACCATGCATACCAAAGTTGTTACAATTACATATTTGATGAACATTTGATGAACAATACAAATAACAACGATGAAGTATGTTGTAAACATCTTGTAACCTGGAGCTACCATCAATAAAAGTCAAAGCAGTTAGACAAGTTTTGTTTAAATTATCTTTAAAACCAACACCTTCAGATTATAAAAATTACCTGGTAAAACAAAATTGAAGCTTTGAATCAATTAAATTTTACATCCAATTCAATCAATGATTTTAATGTGTCGTTCTATCAGTGGAATACCTGAGCCACTTTGGATAAAGTTTCAGTTCGGATCTTTCATATCTTTAGACCTTTCGATCGATTGTTCATCAGTACAATGCACATATATATAATGTATATCTATGTTAACAGTGAACACACACAAAACACACATTACCGGTAATAAGAACAGAGTAGAGATACACTCCACGTTCACTTTATCATCTTTGACTAGATTTCAATAAAATTTCCAATGTTTCATAGTTCTTTCTTAAATTCTGTTTTCATCAGTTGAATAAATTTGAACATATTGGGTTTCTCGTTATACTATTTCTTAACGATCCCTGTACCACTGCACTTTAGTTTTTCCGTATATACATTAACCTCCCCTTAACTTCCATTTGGATATACAAATGTAACTGTAGCACAATTGGGCCCGCACACTTCCGTTGACTAGGTAGCTCAGTCAGAGCGATAGTATATAACAGCCTGATGTGAAAAATGCCATCTAAATCATTAACATACATGGAGAATAACAGGGGTGAATACATTTCATCTTGAAATAATCAAAAGCCAATACCAGAACAAAACATAGAAACCCAAAAAAGACTATCTGCAGCACAAGCTGCATTGGTTTAAACTAAGTGTTGCAGTTCTGATCTTAGGGATATTATAGTATTTATACAACTGTCACTTTCACTTTGATTACTTGTGTTAAATTATTATAAATTAACAAGTATTAAACTTCAAAAAAAAACACCAGAAAACATAAATGGAGAGTCTCAGCAAATTTATTCCAGTGATCCGAGATACCCTATCTGATGTCATCTGGCCATCTCTACTGTAGAATATCAATTAATCTTACAGCTTGACTAGTGAGTCGCATTTAGGAAACCATCAACTGAGGTACACTGAACTTCACTGAACAAACAAACGGACGTTAAATCTCATTTGCCCTTGAACAAGATTTACACTTGTGACACAACTTGTTACACAGTAACAAGAGGCCCAATGGGTCTGCATCGCTCACCTGGTATTAATCCCACACTTGTAACCTTTAAAAGTGATCTAAAATAAAGCTACACTAGTGACACAACTTATTACACAGTAACAAAAATAAAAAAATTAATAAAGCTAATTTGAGATACACATATGTGTAAATGTGAACAACCAGATGGCAATACACAATTGTTTAACCTGAAATCTGTTACAACAATTCTAGGTAAAAACAAAACACAATGAATAGTTCTATATGTTAAGTTTGTTTTGAACACAAACAGAAATGAAATGTAACAAGCTTACAATATATGTGAAACAGACTGCAGACTTACGACTTAAAGAAGATCCGAAAGGTGCTGAAACCATGGAACAGGAAGTCTACGAAACAATACAATTAATCAGCTATTACCATGCTAAAATACAACCATATCGTAGACTGGAACAACTCAAGTTTTTGAAAAGGAAATCAATTGGAAAGTGGGGAAAAGAAACAAAATCCATCTGGGTTAGGAGGGAAGGTGATTAGATGAACAGAGACGAGGGAGTCATATTTATGACCCCATTTTAACACCCACTAAGGGCAGAATAGGTAAACATGTTACTCGTCCCCCTGACTGCCTGCAGTTTTAGAGTGTTATTTGGACGAAATGTCTTGATATTATTCTGACTGCTGACTTTACTGAATGGGCAGTGTGGCTCAGCAAGTTGTTTTCTGTGGTTTTGAGTAAAGACACTGGTCATTTGCACTGTTTGCTTGACGTTTTCCAAAACTCAATAAAGTTGTTTCTGATTGTGTACATGGCACAACTGTACAAAAAGCCGGACTAATTTCACGACAAATGTCCCATGGTATTTTCAAAACATTCAAATCAAACTCTAAAATTATGTTTAGGAAATCAAAATTAACATCATTCCATTTCAGACTTCTTCTTTTGTTTTTGGTCAATAAGATAACATTGTCAGAAAATTTCATTCTCTAAAAACAGAAATTATTATCACAGTTAATATACAATCTATTCACCCGTACTTAAAAAAAAGCCGAAAACCTTTGTTGACCTCGTGTTATATATGGAATGACTGTTTTCTGAGAATAAACCTCACAAGGCTGAATATGCTACGAATGAATAGTTGATGCAGTTTCTGCATCAGGAAACATTTTGACATCATATTTCACACGGAACATTGAACTTGACTGTTAAATTTAGAGAAATTGCTTAATGACTTAGATACATAGGTTTGAAATCTAATCAAAAAGACATCATATACAAATTGTACATGCATTTTCAACAAATCATGAAATGTTAAGATTTCATTTTCTTTTTTTTTTATCTTCTAATTTTAACTTCTGTTAACAGCATATCCATACCTATACATACATGTTCTAAGGTTGTACAAAATTGTAGTACCATTATCAAAATCTGTTTACACTAATTACACAATTATACCAGAAAAATATCTCAAGGGGGCGGAGATACCATGTCCTTATTAGTTAAAATACATGTGAATTTCACATGAATACTGCCGTGGAAACTTGTAATATACACAGTCCACGCTCAAAGCACATAAATCAATTCCAAAGTAACGTGGACAACATGGCAATCTTTTTTTTTTCTAAATATTTTCTTAAGGGTTGGTAAGTATGGATTATGAAAAGTTCATTTTACACAACCAGTAAGAGTTTCTAATATGACGTTTACATGACTAGTACGATACTGTCACCTTAATCAGAAAAATGACCAGTGAAGCGTATGCATACAAAGGTGTAAAATGTGTACGAGTTGTCCACAAAATCGATGTAGATTCGATACATATTTTACACTTTTGTGCGTATACGCTTCATTGGTCATTTGTCTGATGAAGGTGACAGTGTACATACCATACTAGTCATCGAAACATCACATAGAAACTCTTACTGTAAAAAGAACTTTTCAACATGGCAATCTTATGTAAATGGTTCCAGGGATACAGCCAATGCAGTTTATCTTATTTAGGTTCGGCTGATTTTGTTTATCCTTTGCTTGGATACCACCCAGTATGAAGGGCGATTGAAGAATAGGGGAAACTTAGTATGTATAAAGGAATTTATTCAAGCCTAAGGCTAGAATAAATTTTTCTATAAATATATTTTTTATATTTGCTGTGTTGTCTATATTCCTTTGAAATTCAGTTTAAAACAAAAAGAGTTAAATATAGATTCATGAAACCATGGCTTCAAATAAAACCAAACAAAGATACATTTAGTTGTGGTTTCACAAATAGAAGTATATATAGATTTTAATCAGATTAAAGAACTGATTTGTTCTATATGTAGCCTATTATTTTTCAAATAATAATTATATATATATATATATATGTTATAAACTCTTAAGGTAACTGGAATGATTGACAACAAGATCAGTTTTAAGATACTAAGCACGAATATTAGAATCCATGTTTATCTTAACATCAGAAAAATCAAATTCTATCAATTGACAGTGTAATAAACAAACAAGAAATTGAATTTCAGTCAATATTGGTGAGATCACTAAAGACTTGACTGCCCCAAGAACCTTCTTTATTTAATTCAAGATATACGAAATGTGAACTCGTGTGTAATTTTGTGGTGGATATATCACGTCAATATTGACTGAAATTCAATTATCTAGAGAAAATCCAAGTGATTATCTCCCTTGCATCACTGATCACTTTAATACCCCCATATCTCAATATGCCAGGAAAACAGATTCTCGGCAATTTGGCAAACTAACGGACATTAAATCAAATTTAAACACTGATTGCAAAAGCAAATAAATACAATTCTAATTACTGAGCACCGGTGTTACATGAGTTATTGAATATTTTGTTTTTTTAATACTCTACATTTGCTTTACTCTACAATGGCAAAAGCAAACTTTGTATAGTATTGTGTTGTATACACAGCTTGATCTCTAGCGATCTCTCACTTGTATAAGATATTCTTTTAAGGTCTTTCAAATACAATGTAATTGAAAACATGATGGTGACATTTGGGTGTTTCTACCTGACTGGTTTACTCCCTACAAAAGTATGTTAATGCATGTATACAAACACTGAAGAAATAACAAGGATTCTCTTACATTGTGAAATTCTTGTCATTGGTGTCAAGTTCTACGATAATTGAGTTTTCAGTCTGGTACTTCTGCGAAAAATGTTCTAACATTCACCTTTCATGATAATATACACAACTTGTTGATACATTGTACTCAAATACGAAATGTACAGTAGCAGTAACGGGAGAATTTAAATAATCAAAATAAAGCACCATATGATTGTGAGTCAGTGAAACACCTGTTACAAACCATTGAGTTCACGATACAACAGAGACTGGCTAGAACCAGATCTACAAACACAACAAGTGTATACCAGCTCTTTCACATGCTTAAATCAGTTCAACCATTTTGTTTGATACCAAATAATGTATACAAGTGAAGAATAAACAGTCACGGGTCCAGTTTATGTAGTAAGTCTAATTAGCTTAGAATCAAAGTTTCCCAAAATTTTCAACACTGTATTTTCAAAAAGATTCAAATTCAAAACTTGAGTTGCAGGTATTCAAGAATTCATAATGATCATCTAACGACAACAAACACAAAACGATTTGTGAATTTTTGAGATATTTAGGCACTAAGGAAATACAATGCCATTAAATTCACTTAATATCAACCATAGAACAAAATATGTGAAAAAAATGTACGCAAGTATTGTGAAATGGTGTCAAATCACTAAGTTTGGAAGGTTTTTTTATTTTGTTGATTTCATGGGCAATCTAAATCCACAATTTCATAGGTACAGGAAGTAGTAACAAGTGTATTTTAAAGCAATTCTCTGTTTGAGTGGATACTCGTAATCAACAAATTCATGTACCCAAGAAATGGTGTTTTGTTTGGAAAAACGAAATTTCGGCCCCAGCAAAAATATCTGATCGCACAGTAATATTACACCTGGCAGTTTCGTAAGAACATGAGTACTGTTTATTGTAAACAAACCAACAACAGTGACAATTTGATACCAACCTACATTTTGGTCATTTTTCAAGTTTTGACCTTTCTGGCAAAAAGCAAACATAAAACCCCTAAAATTCTGAGATACTCAAATTGGTGAGCTATTCATTCACAAAATTCTGTAACATAACGTTGATTGCATATCATTAATTAGGAACCGTACAATTCTATTACATGTAAGCACAGGTAAGCACAGGGGTTTGTTCAAAATGTCTAAAATACACATATGCTATAATTATATGTTTAGGTGTGCTGTGACCCCTATCAGGATAGCATATGTGTATTTTGAACAAACCCCTGTGCTCTAATCAAGATATGGCTGAGCTGATGGTAACAACACAAATGATCAGGAAGTCTTTTATCCTCAGAAAAAGCTGTGCTGAAAAAAACTAAACAATGACAGTAAAGAAATCCACTTAATTTCCCAATTGAAAAAAGCGTGATTTTAAAATGTGATAAATTGATACTAAGTGCATGTGTAAATATTAAAATGATGCATTAATGATGTACGTAATATGTGACAAAGCAAACTAAGAGGTATTTCTAGAATTTTTGGTCCAGTCAGTCCCTTCTTTAGCATATATTTAAAATTACATGTAATCTATGAAAGCTGGAGGAACGGATTTCAGTTTGTAATTGCCAACATATTGAACTAATGTATTTTATTTTATAATATTTTGGGGGGGCGTTCTCTTTACAACAAAACATGATATTGTAAATAATATGAAGCAGACCGAAAAATCTCAACCAAAGGGAAAGACTCTGTAGTCAAGGAATATAGATTTGATTTAGTTCTGGACAAAATAATATTATCCTCAGGGCTGATATTTGATGAGTTATTTTTTGTCACACCAATAACCTACATGTATCCGTACTATCAAAATATGCTAACTACAACTTCTTTCAGTTCTGAACGTAAGATTTTCAATCAATCCCCAGGGGTTTCACCACAAACTGTAAGGAACTTCACAGGGTCAAACTTGAACAATTTTTGTTTCTTGAACTACTCTTCAGGGTATAAATTACACACAACAACATAGTAGTCAATAACAAGCATACTAAAGCAACACATGTCCCCTACCGGCCCCCGCAAGCTATTACACTGTAATTATCTATAAAATTGGTGCCCTTTGGTGTTAATTGGGAAAATGAAAAGTATACAATTAGCTTGTAAATGATTTACTAATGTAATTTTTCTTTTCTACATTACCATCAATCAAATTGTAAAAAAAAAATCAGAATAAATGAATTTCTATGTATACTGTATATTACATACACATTTGACACTTTAAGTTCAGTATTGAACCGATTATATCGATTATAGAATTCGTTCACGATAATCGGAATTGAACAGGTCAAATCGATCAGTGTTCGATTATTATATATCGATCATCAGTCCATCACTGGCTTCAATTTGTCCAGGATTTTGTATTAATAGTAACGGTGGCCTTGACCTCAACTCTACAACCCTGAAACTTGAACTTGTCTGAGATATTATGGTCCTTTCTAATTGTGTGAAGTTTGATCAAAATCCCTAAACGAATGAACCCACTAAAGCACTGACAATGGATTTTCTAAAAAATAGTAACGGTGACCTTGACCTTGACCTGACAACCCTGAAACTCGAACTTGTCCAAGATATTATTGTCCTTTGTAATTGTGTGAAGCTTGATCAAAATCCCTCAAGGAATGAACCTGCTAGAGCGCTGACAACAATTTTCTAAAAAATAGTAATGGTGACCTTGAACCAACAACCCCGAAACTCAAACTTCTTCGAGATATTATGGTTCTTTGAAATTGTGTGAAGTTTGATCAAAATCCCTCAAGGAATGAAGCCGCTAGAGCGCTGACAAGGATTTTCTAAAAATAGTAACAGTGACCTTGACTTTAACTCAACAACCCTGAAACTCAAACTTTTTCAAGATATTATTGTCCTTTGTATTTGTGTGAAGTTTGATCAAAATCCCTCAAGGAATGAAGCCATGAGAAGGGATACAAATATATTGAGAACAAAAGTATAAGGTATTATAAAGTTTCGAACAAATACGCAAGACCAACGTAAGTTGATTCTATTATCACTATTTATTGTTGACAGGAGCTCTTCAATATTTCATTACTGAACTTAAATATTGTCCACTGACATACATAGTATATGGATTCTCATTCCTGTTCCACTGCCATACTTAGCCTGATTGTCTAAGCCTGTTTTAAAGTACAAATTATAAATCCAAATTCATATTTTCAAATGATAAATCATTGCCGATCTTTACCTGAAATTCTATGATTTTGTGTGACCATACCACAGATCTACACCCACTAAAAACAAACAAAATGGCAGGACAGTCATAAATAGATCCACAATAAATGTAACATTTAACTGGCTTCATCCTCCGGATCTGAAAAATCCTCTTCACCTTGACCCCGCGATGTAGCACCAACTAGAAGTGGAGAAATACGGCCGCGTTTCGCAGGAGGACTCTTCGTTGCTGAGTCTGGACTTTCAGCATCGTTTCGATCAGGTTCTGCTGAATTCATCCCATCAGTACTGTCTTCTTCGTCATCACTGTTAACAGGAGAAATGGCTTGTTCGATTCTGGCACGGCCTTCTTGTATCCAATTTTTCTGAAAAAGTCGGAGCAACTTTCATGTTATGGTACAGTAAAATATAGCTTGAGGGATATTAGATTTCACAGGCCAGCTTCTATAATAGTTTTACTCTCCATTTGAGGAGAACGACTAGTTTCTTAATTTAACTTTTTAAGCAGTCTCCCTTTAAACATTTTATTGCTAAAATGAATCAATATTGATACATACTTAACCAACAGCTTAGCAAGTTTGATTTCAAAGGGGTAACACTGTAAACAGCGTTAACTCATTCACCCCTGAAATTTCACAGTGAACAATACCAACCTTTGAATTGGAAGAGTTCAAATGTGTCTTCTGGGGTGAATGAGTTAAATTTGGGCAGTGTTAATTTTTCATATTTTTGTAAGGAAAAATATTCATGCAGTGCAGATTTTACAGAGAACAGGTATGTTGTCCACTCTGTGATATCTTTGTTTTACTTTTCCTATGCTATCATGTAACATGGATTTGACATTTTTTCACTATGAGCTGATAAATCAGGCATTGACCGATCAAGAGAATGAAGTCAAGTGTGAGAAGTATCTATATGTGTTACATAAAACAGCCTCGTCTTGGATGTAGCTCCCTAAATTATCATCTCTATAATAATCATGTTTCAGACATAGACCTATGTAGATGTGGAACTCCTTCCCATTATTTGATGCAGTGTAGGCTCTTTAACCAAGCTAGAATGAACACCATAGGTACTTTAAATATTAATTTGAAGCCTGAACGGTTAATTTATGGGGACCCAAATCTGTCTCAAGATGATAACATACTAAAATTTAATAAGGTAGATTTTATTTTAGAGTCGGGTAGATTCTAGGTGCCAGTTGGGATCTTTTCATGCTCTCTTCATTACTGTTTCCTCTCTTCTATCATACCTACCTATGGTCATATTTTGTTTGCTTCATCACATAAAATGGTCAGTATTATCACAAACTATCAATTTTTACAATGCATATTTATCTTGCTGCCGGATCCTATTAATATTCCTACTAACCTGTGTACCTAATATATTAATATTCCAACTAACCTGTGTACCTATTATATTAATATTCCTACTAACCTTTCTACCTATTATATTAATGTTCCTACTAACCTGTGTACCTACTCTATTAATATTCCTACAAACCTGTGTACCTATTCTATTAATATTCCTAGTAACCTGTGTACCTATTCTATTAATATTCCTACTAACCTTTCTACCTATCATAATAATATTCCTACTAACCTTTCTACCTATCATAATAATATTCCTACTAACCTTTCTACCTATCATAATAATATTCCTACTAACCTGTGTACCTACTCTATTAATATTCCTACTAACCTGTGTACCTATTATATTAATATTCCTACTAACCTGTGTACCTATTATATTAATATTCCTACTAACCTGTATACCTATTATATTGATATTCCTACAAACCTGTGAACCTATTATATTAATATTCCTACTAACCTGTGTACCTATTATATTAATATTCCTGCTAACCTGTGTACCTATTCTATTAATATTCCTACTAACCTGTGTACCTATTATATTAATATTCCTACTAACCTGTGTACCTATTATATTAATATTCCTACTTACCTGTGTACCTTTTATATTAATATTCCTACTAACCTGTGTACCTATTATATATAAGGTATTAAATAAAAGAAATGTTTAAACCAATGCAGAAATATGTTTGATTACTGGGTTACTGGGGTAGTTAAAACTAGCTTGAACTAGTGACTCGAATACATCCATTCCATTACAAATAATGCACTAAGTTTGTACATGTAAGTGTAGGTGGCCAGTTTCAGTGTGCAGTTCGCCAAGCAACAACACTCTCAATGTTTAAACAAATCGTCTTTGTCCAAATGTCTGGACCTAGAAATGTTCACTGCATTCTATATTTAGCAGTTGAATCTTTCTATGAAAAGTGCAAAAATAACTGCCACAAAAAAAATCCAGTATAAGATAATCAGCATTTCACTGTTCTACTAAAAAGGGCATGGCATCATGGCATAGATCCCAATCCCAGTGTCCATAGCTGCATGATAAATAATACATGTACACGTACGGACCATGGAGTGTGGATCTGTGCCAGCCCCCAAAGATCTACTAACTGTCTTACTAACTGCCTTCTCTGCAAAATACTGTTTCAATGTTGGAATTCTATATTTACAATTCTTCCGTCACGTCCAAACATGTCAAGAAAGTTGGTGATGAACTCTCGAGACTTTTCCTCCCAGCGATGAATCATTTCGTTGCCTTTGTCCTTTGTGTCCTTTATTTTGTCTATCAGCTCGCGACTTTTGTCCTTCATCTTGTTCAGACTCTCATCAAACTGGATCTTCTTCTCCTGTAACATATTAACCAGGTTACATGGTGACGAGATTCAGTACATAAACTAAACCACATGGGGTCCCCGGGACAGGTATCATGTAAACCAGGTTACATGGTGACGAGCTTCAGTACATAAACTAAACCACATGGGGTCCCGGGGATAGGTATCATATAAACCAGGTTACATGGGGACGAGATTCAGTACATAAACTAAACCACATGGGGTCCCAGGGACAGGTATCATATAAACCAGGTTACATGGTGACGAGATTCAGTACAAAAACTAAACCACATGGGGTCCCCGGGACAGGTATCATGTAAACCAGGTTACATGGTGACGAGCTTCAGTACATAAACTAAACCACATGGGGTCCCCGGGACAGGTATAATATAAACCAGGTTACATGGTGACGAGATTCAGTACAAAAACTAAACCACATGGGGTCCCCGGGACAGGTATCATGTAAACCAGGTTACATGGTGACGAGCTTCAGTACATAAACTAAACCACATGGGGTCCCGGGGATAGGTATCATATAAACCAGGTTCCATGTGGACAAGGATTCACTACACAAAGCGGTCACATGTGGATGAGGATTGACTATTGAAATCAGGCCACATGTGGATGAAGATTGACCATATGAATTAGGTCACATGTGGATATGGATTGACCAAATCAGGTCACATGTGGATGAGGATTGACTATTGAAATCAGGCCACATGTGGACGAAGATTGACCATATGAATTAGGTCACATGTGGATGTGGATTTACTATTGAAATCAGGTCAAATGTGGAGCAGGATTGACCAAATAAATAGGTCACATGTGGATGTGGATCGACCATATAAATCAGGTCGGATGTGGATTGACCATATAAATCAGGGCACATTTGGAAGTGGAATAACCATATAAACAGGTCACGAATGGATGAGGATTGACTATTGAAATCAGGCCACATGTGGACGAAGATTGACCATATGAATTAGGTCACATGTGGATGTGGATTTACTATTGAAATCAGGTCAAATGTGGAGCAGGATTGACCAAATAAATAGGTCACATGTGGATGTGGATCGACCATATAAATCAGGTCGGATGTGGATTGCCCATATAAATCAGGTCACATTTGGAAGTGGAATAACCATATAAACAGGTCACGAATGGATGAGGATTGACTATTGAAATCAGGCCACATGCGGACGAAGATTGACCATATGAATTAGGTCACATGTGGATGTGGATTTACTATTGAAATCAGGTCAAATGTGGAGCAGGATTGACCAAATAAATAGGTCACATGTGGATGTGGATCGACCATATAAATCAGGTCGGATGTGGATTGACCATATAAATCAGGGCACATTTGGAAGTGGAATAACCATATAAACAGGTCACGAATGGATGAGGATTGACTATTGAAATCAGGCCACATGCGGACGAAGATTGACCATATGAATTAGGTCACATGTGGATATGGATTGACCAAATCAGGTCACATGTGGATGAGGATTGACTATTGAAATCAGGCCACATGCGGACGAAGATTGACCATATGAATTAGGTCACATGTGGATATGGATTGACCAAATCAGGTTACATGTGGATGAGGATTGACTATTGAAATCAGGTCACATGTGGACGAAGATTGACCATATGAATTAGGTCACATGTGGATATGGATTGACCAAATCAGGTCACATGTGGATGAGGATTGACTATTGAAATCAGGCCACATGTGGATGAAGATTGACCATATGAATTAGGTCACATGTGGATGTGGATTTACTATTGAAATCAGGTCAAATGTGGAGCAGGATTGACCAAATAAATAGGTCACATGTGGATGTGGATCGACCATATAAATCAGGTCGGATGTGGATTGCCCATATAAATCAGGTCACATTTGGAAGTGGAATAACCATATAAACAGGTCACGAATGGATGAGGATTGACTATTGAAATCAGGCCACATGCGGACGAAGATTGACCATATGAATTAGGTCACATGTGGATGTGGATTTACTATTGAAATCAGGTCAAATGTGGAGCAGGATTGACCAAATAAATAGGTCACATGTGGATGTGGATCGACCATATAAATCAGGTCGGATGTGGATTGACCATATAAATCAGGTCACATTTGGAAGTGGAATCCTTTGTCCTTTGTGTCCTTTATTTTGTCTATCAGCTCGCGACTTTTGCCCTTCACCTTGTTCAGCCTCTCATCAAACTGGATCTTCTTCTCCTGTAACATATTAACCAGGTTACAGGGTGACGAGATTCAGTACATAAACTAAACCACATGGGGTCCCGGGGATAGGTATCATATAAACCAGGTTACATGTGGACAAGGATTGACTACACAAAGCGGTCACATGTGGATGAGGATTGACTATTGAAATCAGGCCACATGCGGACGAAGATTGACCATATGAATTAGGTCACATGTGGATATGGATTGACCAAATCAGGTCACATGTGGATGAGGATTGACTATTGAAATCAGGCCACATGTGGATGAAGATTGACCATATGAATTAGGTCACATGTGGATATGGATTGACCAAATCAGGTCACATGTGGATGTGGATTGACCAAATAAATAGGTCACACGTGGATGTGGATCGACCATATAAATCAGGTCGGATGTGGATTGACCATATAAATCAGGTCACATTTGGAAGTGGAATAACCATATAAACAGGTCACGAATGGATGAGGATTGACTATTGAAATCAGGCCACATGTGGACGAAGATTGACCATATGAATTAGGTCACATGTGGATGTGGATTGACCAAATCAGGTCACATGTGGATGTGGATTGACTATTGAAATCAGGTCAAATGTGGACGAGGATTGACCAAATAAACAGGTCACATGTGGATGTGAATCGACCATGTAAATTAGGTCACATGTGGATGTGGATTGACCATATAAATCAGTTCACATGTGGATGTGGATTGACCATATAAATCAGGTCACATTTGGATGTGGAATAACCATATAAACAGGTCACATGTTGATGAAGATTAATTATATAATGAAGCTGTCACATGCTGTAGCGAGGTATTGTAGTGTCATCTATAATTCCTCACAAGTTAATCAAAAATAAACAACAAAATCTTTATTTTTTGTCCTCTCATCATTGTATATCAAACAATAACCAGAACTACATACAGAGTTATATGTTCTGATAGGATGTATTGGACCAACATCAAAAGCAGCCTGTATCATTAGCAAACCATTCGTCATAGAAAATGACGCCATTAATAGCCTCCTACAATAGTGTTTAGGTGGTGATAACTGTCAGTTCCCAGTAATGGCATGAGAAAAACATCCCTAGGGACAGGCTATCACCCAGACAAACAAGACTGTAGTGAGGACATAGACCAATGAAGAGGATCAAGTATAACATTACCTTCATATAGCTGACGTTGAGTTCTTTAGCGCTGTAGCCACGTGTCAGATTTCTCCGTACATACATGTCATAGTCTTTAATTATCCGGGCAATGATGTCTGTCGTTGATATTCCTTCTGTTCTCTGTGTCGCCAGAAACCTAGAAAACATAGCATGTGTTGCTGCAGTAATTAACTCATTCACCCTTGAAGTTTCATAATAAACTTTTCCAACCGTTGAATTGGAAGGGTTTAAATGTGACTTCAGGGGTGAATGAGTTAAACTAGGAAAAGAAATGTCTGTCTTTAAAATATTGAAATTGAAATACTGAATTACCTCCCCTTGAATGCAGGGTAAATGTTCATGGTATTGTTAAATATTGTTTAAAAAACGACACAAATCTTATTTTAAGGATACCACTGTGGAGTTTAAAATTATAAAACTCATCCAAATCGTGGGTTTACACCCTTAGAGTAAAATTGGGTGCTGAGGATTTTATTTCATATATAATCTTCAAGTGTTGAAATCCTCCATACAAACAGAGGAGGAGTTTTTCTTTTCATATCTTGGTTTAAAGGATTCAGAATCAACTGAACAGTAACACATTTCTTTGTTTGCCAGTCGCCCTGTTATTATATCCCAGCCTGTTCAGAGGATACCATTAATCAGGATATTTTGGTGGTATGTACTATATTTTGGAATGTTTGTAAATGACAGGGTCGTTTGAATTAGGAGAATCATATTTTTGTGCTTTTTGTGCTCTGCCTAACCAGATTCTGTTTACAATGCTGCAACATTGAGAATCAATTTTCTAAGTTTCAAAACTGGAACATCGTAATTGATATTTTTAATCCATGCCATAAAGAGCTATATCATGGTCGTGTAATAGGGAAACAGTGATTCAGGAATATTGGCGTGTTAAATTTGTATCACCTTAATTAATACAACAGCCAAAACACCAAAACATCAGCACATCCAAAATAGCCTGATTTACAGTAGATAAACGATCGAAGAAATGAAAATCTTCCTCTATTACATACACACGTACGAAAGATTATCACCTCACCAAAATGTTTGTAATACTTACATGTCTTTGTCTTTTAGATGTTTGTATATATCATCCGAGTCATTGGAAGAGTATGGTAAATCGTCATGGGCAACAAAGTCAATCTACAATGTCCAATGGTTTCAGTATGAAGAACAAATTACTCGTCAGAAATTGTTATTATAAAATATTTGGCGATAGCAGAAACAACAATCAGTGCGTAAAAGGTACACATGTTACAGGAATCCATACAGAAAAGTTAAAATTGACGCTATCAAGTGATATACCTCGGGAAACGTACAAAACGGATATTTCGGTAATTAAAGTAACTTTACAACTTTTACAGTGATTCGAAGTATTCAAGAACTGTTTCACCTTTTATTAAACTATTACTCTAATAAATACTAAGCTGAAAATGTGAATATTTCTTCCCAAACATTTTGTATTCGTTTGCTTCACTATTCTGATGTACACAGCGCCATATACAATGTAAGTAACACATATATATTTACTTTATGTTTCTCTAGGAACTCATCGCTGATGGACCACGGCACAGCCTTCACCACCTCGTCCACGTAGCGGCAGTGCCTCAGAGCCTCGTATCGCTCCGTCTCGTTCATTACTGTCCGGCCCTTTTTCTTGTGTGTGAGTTTATCACTACAGACTATAAAACAGAGGTAACCCTTTTTAAAATATAAATATTTAAAACTATCCTCTAACCTATGTTTCTACCTAAAAACAAGAGGCCCATTAGGCTGTAACACTCACATGAGTTTAATGCTAATGTAACAAGTTTGAAGTCAATTACTGATCTAGAGAAAAAGTTAAAAAAAAATCTACACCTATCAGAGGACAGAGTATCCATCCTCCATCAGAGGCTGGTATCCATCTCTGATTCTTGTTTCAATGCAAATAGTGAGAACACTTAGCCTGTACCTCAAACGGAAATTCAGAAAACTAATGACACATTTTGGAATCAATCACTACAGCTGTTCTTGAGGAAAAGCCCTAGTGTACTAGCCAAATCAGAGGCTAGAAGTCTCTTCTCAGGTTATTGAATCAGCACAAAAAGTACAAGCACTTGGTAAAAAACTCATAAAAATGCATTTGTACCAACTAGGCGTAAATCGGCAACCAGAGGTCAGGGCTGCTTTGTTGGATTTTTGGATTGGCTTGGAAAGTAACAGCACTTGGTCAGGACCACATAAAGGAACATTTGTACCTAGTGTAGAATCAAACATTTTAGTTGGTCTTGAGAAGTCAAAATTCTCAGCCATTCAGTGACTAGGGTGGCCATCTTGGATTTTTGGATCAGCATGAAAAGTGACAACACTTTGTCAAAACCTCTTAAGGAACATTTGTACCTAGTTTGGAGTATATCTCTTCAATGAGTCTTTAGAAAAAGACGAACATGTTAAATTGTCAATTGTTGTCATCGGAAAAAGGCAAATAGCAATAAATACAGTTACATGTTCAATACAGTGAGGAAAAAAGTAGTCAAATATTTGACATCATTCACAAAAATTATTTCATCAGACTCTTAATGCATCCTCTGATAAAAGCTCCTTTATATTGCTTACAAAATGTACTCCATGAAGAGTTCTTATCAAACAATGTGTCGTGGGAAACAACAGCAATCTTAACTATCTAATAGGGCCAATGTGATTGCTAGAAGTTCTTTTTAAGTTGCAAGATTCAAAGCCAGCAAAAATATTCAAAGAAAAAGCTACAAACAACTTTCACATGGACAGTTTTGGCTTTGTACTAACCGCGTGGCGCTTAGTCACTGAACGAAGGATTACCTTATTTATCATAAATATCTTCACCAAGAAATACAATACAAAAAGGTTTGGTTTGGTTTGTTTGTGTTTTACGTCCTATTAACAGCTATGGTTATTTTAGGACGTGCTAGGTTTTTGTTGGTGGAGGAAAGTTTGAGTTCCCGAACAAAAAATCACCGACCTACGGCCAGTACCTGGCGACTGCCCCACCCAGTGGTGGAGGGCTAGTGGTAGCAGAATGTCAGACACCTTATATTTTAATTAACCACTTGGCCACCGGACCTCTCAATTTTTTTTATATTTTTTTGATAATCACTCTTACTTCAGAGAAACAATGAAATAATACTTAATTACTTAGTTAATTAAGCCTTTTTGATATCAAAGTTGATGAAAACTTGCTGCTTTTAACACTGCATCAACTATAATACCACGGTGAAAATTATGTCTAAATGTATTACTAGTTACATTAGAAGTTATATTTTGCGTCACTACAAAGTTGTTACCTCCGACTATGAGATATGTATTGGGGAAAGCCATCTTAGCCTGCATCAGCTGTTTAGCATGCCCCGAGTGGAACATGTCGTATATCCCATCAGCATACACACGTACAGTTCTGGGAGCTGAAACATAACAGTGTTATTGTTAACAAGAAAGTCACTCATTACAAAACATTAATGTAGGGGTCTTCTTTCTCAATTTGCCAACATAAATTTTCTTACTTCTTTACATGAGACCCTTTACAAACAAAGAACAAAAGGCCAAAGTGCTTTTTTGCTTTTCTCATCCCCCCACTCTTTTTTTTAAGAAATTAAACCATTGCGACCTTCAGAGAAGGTCAAGGTTATCTATTTAACTAGTTTTATAGCTTTCATCCCCTTCTAACTACAGGACAAATGACCTTTGGTCCCACTGTTTTGTACATGAGGGCATTTTAAAAGTTTCATATTCCCGGCCCATAGACCTTGCAATTGTGTCAAGGTTATGTGTCAGAGCCTTTCACAACCAAAGACAAATATTGGTACTCTTGGGTGTATGATTCTGTAGAATTATTTTTTTGAAGTCCCACAAACTCATTGGTACTTTTTGCCAGCTGTGAAAATTATTCATCTTCAGTAGAGGGAGATATGTTTAGCTGGGAGTTAGGTGATGAAGGCAGGGGATAGTTAAGAGGAGAGCAGGTCGAGAGAGGCATATTTAAGAGGAGAGTGGGTTAATGGACCAGGGAGTATTTAAGAGGAGAGTGGGTTTAGGGGCCAGGGGGTATTTAAGAGGAGAGTGGGTTTAGGGACCAGGGGGTATTTAAGAAGAGAGTGGGTTTAGGGACCAGGGGGTATTAAAGAGGAGAGTGGGTTTAGAGACCAGGAGGTATTTAAGAGGAGAGTGGGTTTATTAGGGACCAGGGGGTATTTAAGAGGAGAGCGGGTTTAGGGACCAGGGGGTATTTAAGAGGAGAGTGGGATTAGGGACCAGGGGATATTAAGATGGGAGAGGAACAATTGAAATAAGGTATTCTCACCTGTCCCTGCCTTGGCCACCTCCAGTGAGATTTTTATACTGTAATCTGTGCGCTCATTCTCCAGGACTGCTGCTTCCATCTCTGAGAAGGGTGCTGGCCCTGGAGTGGTGACCTTCATAATAAGGATTAGAAATAAATATTAATTTGTTGATTAATATAACATAGAATGTCAAGACTGGTTACGACTTTATCAGATTTTTTAGTTAATCTTCGTGCATCATAACAGTATATTATATAGTATAATAGCCAAATCTTACAATAATCATTCTCAGCTTTTGCTAGCCTGCACTAACTAAAATAACAAAATATTGGCAACTCAGAAAAAAATCCATGTTGGCTCCGTGTTAATTTTGCTCTTTACATGTAATCACTAAATGTGATATATTGTGTACTTAAATTTGCTGTCATGATAAAGATGCCCTTGTTGCATAGTGCAAAAAAGGCAAAATATTAACTGCAGCAAAAAGTTCCCACTTTACAGTATATATAAATAAATTATAAAAAGAAAAATTTTCAACAACAAGTCTTTAGTACTTTCATCTCTTCTAGGAGATTCTTCAGACTGTTTATTTGAAGTATATGTTGTGACGTCATAAACTATTTGGACTTGACAATATAATAAATATATATTCTGTCTTTGCGTATTGCAGAGTTATCTGCTCTTGTACACAGGTATTGATTGTTACGTCATTTGTTTGTGAGAGGAACGTCATCAATTTTTGAGAAAACAACGTAATTTTCTCACACAAACCAATGACCTAACAATCAATACCTGTTCACAAGAGAAGATAACTCTGCAATACGCAAACACAGAATATACACTACTTGATTTTTTAGCTGTAATTCTTCTGACCTTGTTGACATTTTGTGAATGTCATAAAGGTAAAATTTATTATGGTACAACATTTTATCAAATAACATGTATTGCCTGGACATGTATGGTGCAGTTTTATACCGACATCTCACAAACTTCAGTCCCTTTATACTCTGAAGGAACATCTGTGACCAGTAACTCTTTCAAGACTGATCAGATATTTCTTTAAAATACTGAAATTCAAAACAGAAGCAGTGTACTCATAATTCTTTTGGAGGTGAGAAACAGAAAATATTTGCTTTAAGACATTTTGATGAAAAAGAAATGTTAAAAAAATTTGAACTGAAAGTCAAAACTGAAACGGGGTACTCATATTCTTTTGGATGTAAGAAACAGGAAATATCTGCCTTAACACATTCTGAAGAAAAAGAAATGTTAGAAATGTATTCCTAGACTTATGTAGCTAACAAAATTACAAAAAAATATATCTTCCCAGCTGTTAAAATTTGAAAAAGCTAACAGGAAAACATTCAAAAATAGCATCCATATTGATAAACAATAATATATACACAGGTGTTGACAGAGCTGCAATAATCTACAGGTGACATACCTGGTATGCATAACTGAATTAAACACACTAACATCCAATCATTATCAGGTATAGTACATGTATATCACGGGTATGTACAACTTCATTTCTCAACATTGACTACTCTCTTGTTCATCCTGAAACATGTTATGTATCACCTTTATGTACCATTTTATACCTAAAAACTGACAGTTCTCTTATATGAACTATATTTATTTAACAACAATAACGAAACAAGCTTTTGCAACTTATACTAATCACTCTTGTTGGCCAAGATGTCAGAGTGCGGGAGGTCTTACTGTGGAAGGAAACCGGAGTACCTGGAGAAAACCAATGTGGTCAGGCAGGTGACTCCATACCTTTTCACGTCTGATCAAGGAATCATACCCGGGCCGCCTTGGTGAAAGGCAAGTGCGCTATCCACTGCGCCGCCCGACCACCCATTCTCTTGTTCATCCTAAAATTAATACACGGTATGTTATATATATCACCTGTATGTATCATTTCATATCTAAACACTGACTGTTCTCTTGTTAATCCTAAAATTAATATGTTGTATGTCACCTGTATATCATGTTATACCTAAATATACAGCGTCCTAGCATGTAAATTATTTAAGATATACTGTATAAGTGAACATTTTTGGGGTGTAGAAATTTTCAAGTTTTTCACATAGAGTAAGTAAACACAAAAATATATCTGCACACAAACATAGATTCATGGCATTTATAGATTTTAAAACTATTGGCAACGCGGAAATTTCAACACGCAAAAAAAATAAACTTCTACAGTTAAGTATGTATTATTTTAGATTAAAGCACACAGTATCGTATACTAAAAATGTAGTGTATAACATAATTATATTATTTCATACCTCAAACCACAGCATCCTAAAATTAATATGTAGTATATTACCTATATCTATCATTTTATACTGAAACAAATATTTTATCACGTAGTGTGTATACATGAACCTTTACATACCTACATTTCTAACAAATTTTATTGTTTAGAAAACAAATGGATTGGACAACAGCTGGCAAGCCTATATAAGTCCTCTCCAAATGATCTTTCAATTATGACTGGTAAAATAATTCACAGTGCACTTGTTACTTGGTCTAGCCAGATTTCACTGATATTTACAGTAACATACAGGTGTAAACAGCTTGAAGTAAAGTTGGTTACTGTTGTCATGTTTCTGAGCCCAGTTATTCAAAGTGTTATTTGCTCCAAGTCGTTAATGCAAATTTTTAAAATGTGATTTTTGAAATCTAAGAATCTTAAAAGTTAAAATGGGTTTTTTTTGTGTTTGCCGACATTTGATGATCATTTTGAGTCCTAATACACACAAGTTTTGAATTTCACTTTTTTAAAAGTTTAAAATTTTACATTACTACAGAATAATACATACTTTTATTGTAATGCACATATTTCAGGGTAACTATCATTGGTGCACAACGTTTTATGACCAAAATTTAGCATTTTATTTTATTTCAGTGTCATTATGTAAATCTGACATATAACTACCTTAACTCATTCACCCCTGAAGACACATTTGAACTCTTCCAATTTAAGGGTTGGAGTACTTCATTATAAAATTTCAGGGGTGAATGAGTTGAAGTATTCATAATTCGGCCAAAGAAACAGATGTGTTTATACATATCACATTTCTGTACAGAACTATACTTACACTCACACCTGGCATAGTGTTATATTTTTGAATAATTAATTTCCTTTCCGAATGATTAAAATCCAGATTTGAAAATTTGAAATTGAAAATGTTGTTCCAGCAGCTGCCACATAACGTAGGTGTGTTACTGATGACAGGGTACAGGTATTTATAGGTAAACACAGGTACGTCTATACAGGTACACCGGGTAAAGTCCACGACCCAGTCAGTACAACAGTACAACAGTACAACCACCTATAGGTCAATCAATTAGGATGTCAATGGACACTAAATCAACGGCTTTTTACATTCTACATTGTTATTTTATTACATAAACTGATTTGTGCCATTAAAAATATCTCTACTAAATCAACAACTTTTTACATTCTACATTGTTATTTTATTACAAAAACAGATTTGTGCCATAAAAAATATTTCTACTAAATCAACGACTTTTTACATTCTAAATTGTTATTTTATTACCTAACATTATTTGTGCCATAAAAAATATTTCCACTTAATCTATATTATTATTACTTCATATAATAAATGTATTAAATGTAAAAAGCTCATCAATCATACCTGCCAAGTGACCCGATTTCATGGCAGTGCAGTGGGACAGGGATCCTTAATCATGATGATTAAGGATCCCTGTCCCACTGCACTGCCAATTATTTTTCTTTACACAGTAACCTTCCCTTAACTTCCATTTCAATATAACTGCCACACATTTGGGCTAGTACACCTCCGTTTACCAGTTAGCTCAAGCAGTCACAGCAGTAGTATAACAACCTGATATCTAGGGTTGTCTAGCCCTGGTGATTTGTTTTAACAACTGGATCTCTCTTGTTGATTTTATTTTGTTCACTTTATTTTTATTATTTTTCAAAAAATCCCACAGGGTTTTCTTTTCTTTTAAGAAATGATTTATCAAGGCTACAGTCAGGACAGAATTAATAGTTTCCAATAGCTAGCTACAGTTTTTGGCAGAGGTACAGCAACCCTTAAGTATAATTATACATAAAACCTGGAAAAACTAAACAACAATTATCTTGGTCTGAGGAGTATAACATAACTATATTGTAGAGAACCTAAAACCATCAATTATCCATACTCTATACACCAGGGGTTATGCTCACTTTCGCTCTCTGCACTCCTGGAATATGTCATAGCAAAATTGAAGGCACGCAGCTAGGTATTCAATGGGTTTCAGGTGAAAAAATATCTTACCAATCAAGAGGGTGGTACATGTACCTGTACTTTGAAGATTACTGAGAGTGATACACGACTTCAAAGCCTGTCAGTTTCACCGTTACATGACCAAGCGATTATTTTAATGTACACAAATTAGTCACGTCTCATCCACAAGGTGGCACCCACTGAGCCTTCAAATTTGTCATAACATACTCCTGGGATGTAGAGAGCAGATAAGGGTCAATTTTCAAGGTTTTAAGGAATATTATTTGACTATTTTTGAGGGTACCTAAATCTTTATATATTACCAGTACTGTATGCTGTATACTAGGGAGAAACTTTGAGCCGACTCCTAGTTGATTTTCATTAAACATTACAATTACTCAGCTATCTAAATCAAGCGGGTGCAAAATACAGTTTCTATCAATGTTATCCTCTGACAAAGTCCATAACAGTTATATGGACTCTAGAATAAAGATCTGTGTTAGAGATCAACAAGCTATACCAACATAAATATGTTTAAAGTACATTTTTTTTTATTATTAATATCTTTCTAATCGTAATGGTGTCATTGATAAGATATTTCAACTTCGCCTAGTTAATGTACTTTTATAACACACGTTTCTCATTGTTTGAAAAGCATTTTTGCAACTAGTTATCTGAGGTTTTCCAATTACCACAGATTACACATAGTAAGAGGGTATACCCCCTATGGAAGAAATATGGCATTAAAATTGATTTGTTACATAGAATATAGAAATAATTCAGCAAATTTGTTGGCTGAAAATATCAAAATTAGAGGCCTAAATTTAGGAGTATCCATCCAAAATTGGCAAGTACATACTT